CCGAAACGCGCGCGCGACGGTGTGGTGTCTGCGGCAACGTCGGACACAACTCTAGAACCTGTCAAGTAGTGATTACTTCGTCTGAAGAAGAGGAATTTAAGTAGTTACAAACATTTCTATGCGTTGTGGTTGCGTGTAGGTCAAAAATGTCGAGGTGGTCGGGTTGAGGTGTTTCACTCGCTTGTCTGTTTCACTCGCTTATCATGCACGTTATATATAACTTATAACTAGAGATATTATTACTTATAAGAGGAAGTTACCTATTAGCGATAGCGCCCTCTTATTAATTATTTATTAGTTATTAGTTATTATTATTATTATTATTATTATTATTATTATTATTATTATTATTATTATTATTATTTTTCAGCCGCCGCTATTGCCGGGCCGGTGACGGCGACCTTGATGGCGTACAGGTGAGGCATCAGGGAACGGAGGCATCGGGGTTGGGATGTATTGCGGATGGGAGGTATTAGAGATGGGAGACATCGGGGATGGCAGGTATCAGGGATAGGAGGCATCGGGGATGGGAGGTATTGCGGATAGGAGGCGACTTGGAGTGGCGGCCATCGCAGGAGCAACAGCAACATCCCACGACCAGGAGATCAGAGACGGAAGGGGATGAGGGTGACTTGGTGGCACTTCAGGCGAACGGCGGGTTTGAGGCAATGGGGGTGGAGGGCGACTATGAGCGGCGGTCAACGCAGGAGGAAGTGAGATGCAACGGTCGGGTGTTGGAGATTTGGTCTTGTATCTCTTGAGAATGGTCAACACCATGATTTGAGACGTTTCAGTGTCAATAACAACTTGCTCTATCTGAGGTCTGCAGGAAGATGTTCGATTTCGACGACGACTTGCTTGAAGGTGGTGTCGTTGGCCTCAGGAAACCAGACAGGGAAAACTGCTCGACTGACAACAACCAGGTCACTCTGGTGCGAGGTAGGTGTGCAAGGCATGGTGAAGAAACAAGAAGGATGCAAAGAACATCTTGCTCGCAGGTCCTGATAATAAGCTGCTCAGGAATTTGCTTGGCAGTGATGAAATGATGCCCGGGTGAAGGTGATGTCACAGAACTTCGAGCCACTGTCCTCGTTTGAAGTCGGAATGGGGGAGTTTTGATGTGGAGGTATCGCAGGCAGTCACGAAAGCGACAGCTTAGCATGGCAAATATGCAGACCGACTGAATGGGTGCGCTTTAGACCGGGAGGACATAGAAAGGCATCAATCTATATCTCAAACACACACGACGCAGGCGCTGGCAGTCGCTGCCATTTTCGGCAATTCCTTCCAAGCTGGGGAGCAGGTTCCTGATCCAGCCTCACCGGCCGAGGGCATGGAGGACCTCCAGGTTGGGGAGGCAATAATTGACAATGGAAGCTGCCGGGGAACAGGCCTTCTGAAAAAATGTCCGTCTCGAAAGTGCATACGCTTACTGTACTCGTTAGCCACGTTCAACAATACCCATTGCCTTTCCGCTACACTTTGATTGTGAAGGTGTATAAGTGTTCGCAATGTCCAACTACTGTGCATTCTCACTTGGAAGGGATGTATCCTGGCCTTTGGCGCCCGCTCCTATCACTCTTCGATCTATCTTTACTCTTGACACACATCAAACTCGAAGGCACGGGAGTCTCTCGATTCTCCATCAAGAGTTCTGACCGCGTATGCAAGAACAACGCTTAGAACAACGCTTAGAACAGCTGAACCAACGAGCCTTTGTGATCTCTCCGAAAAATCCTCATCGCTGTCCTCTCCGAGCCACTGCGCAGATGAAAAGCAGCACTCCACAGCAGTCCGAATCACTCGCCCTCCGCTTTGGTCCAAGGCCGTCCAGTCTTCCCGTGATTGCTCTGAGTTTGTCGTGCAGGAAAACGAGTCAGCAGAAGAGATTAGGATGGAGATATCAAAATAGGACAAAATGCATTATCATGTCCACGAGAATCTCGGCCTGGCTTTCCATCGACTGTGCAACGTTCATGGATCCAACTTCACATTTGCCGAGTACATTTGTCCCTTCTTTCTCTGGCCACAAGATGCAAGCTCAGTGGCAATGCATCCGCTCGTCCTCTTCTTCATCTGCTCAAGAGAAGGAAAGCCAATTGCCCATGAGAGGTCGAAGATGTACAACTGCCATCGATCCCAAGAAGGTGCCCGCGTCTCTGCAAGCTCGGCTATATCACAAAAGACTTCTCCGTCATCTCTTAGAGGCCAGCTTGGCCTAGACAACCTATTCAATTGATAGCTTCAAAGAAGACGGGCAGCTGTATCATTGGCTATTCCTATGTTACACTTGGCCGGCGAAGGTCTCGCAACGTCCATCGACGATCGACCACTCAATGTTGTCTCCGCGGTTGGCATTGAAGCTCCTGTTACAGCATAGTCGACGAATCTTTGGGCTCTAGACAATGCTTGTGGAACGGACAAGGCGCCAAGTGTGGTCATTGGGTCCGTACCTTTTCCTATTCATAACTTGCCAATTTTTTCCAGGAACTTGCCCAGGAACTGGTCGTGAATCTCTGTCTGAAGATAGATTCGATTCGCGGTGACGCACGCATGGCCGGCATTTCCCCACTTCAGGGATATTGAAGAATCCACAGCATGATCGATATCGGTGTTGTTGAATACAATAGAAGGACAGTTGCCGCCCAACTCTAATGTCAGTTTCTCGATGCCGACGGCACAGTGACTTGTTATGACCTGGCCTACTCTCGTCGAACCTGTGAACGTGACTTGGCTGACAAGTGGATGCTTGCAAAGGGCCTCACTAAGGCCTGGGGTATTGTCCAGATCAGTTGTCAGAACATTGAACACTGCAGCAGCTTCAAAGCCAGCCTTGATGGCCAAATCTGCAAGGACCAGCGCAGCCAATGGCGTTTCGGGTGATGGCTTCACGATCCTGGTGCAGCCTGCAGCTAACTCTGCTCCAGCCTTTCTCAACACCATGGCGATTAGAAAGTTCCAGGATACCAGAGCGACCGCTACTCCTATGGACTGCTTCTACCACATCGGGCACATCCTCAATACTGTTGCGAGGGCATGTGGCGATGACTTCATCCGTGCTAAGGTCTTGAGGTGATCAGTAGGTGCTTTCAAACATTTCTTTTGTTATAGCTTCTCTACTTTTCTGCAGGTCGTCAGCAACGAGCGACGCGACGGGTACGGCGGCAGCGTGGCCAACCGGTCGCACCTCGTCGACACGGTCATGAAGGCCCTGGTCGACGTCGTGGGCCCGGTGCGCGTCGGCCTCCGCCTGAGCCTCTGGAGACGCTTCCAGAGGATAACGATGCAGGACCTGATCCCGGCGTTTTCCGACTTCATCACAAAAGCCAGCCTACTCGGCTGGCGTACCTCCACTTGGTCGAATCACGCATCTCGGGCTCTGAAGGCGACGACGACTACGGAGAGTCTGACTGACTCGACTTTGCGTCTGAGCTCAGGAAGGCATCGATCCTCATCGATGAACACCATCCAGACAAAAACATCGTCATCATGTTTGGGAGACACTTCATCGCCAATCCCGATCTGGTGTACAAGATCAAGGCAGGCGTGGCGCTGAGTGCGTACCGTCGCCCGACTTTCTATGTCAAAAAGTCACCCCTGGGCTTTGTGGACTACCACTCAGCAAGGAGTACCTGGGCAACCTCCCCATTTCCACCACTGCTACTTCATGAAAGAACCTCACATAAGTGGGACTACTAGACGGATACTATACATTCTTCCAGCACCAACAAAGCTCAATAACGCGTCTCTGACTGGTCACAAGTGCATTCCAGATCGCTGGACAGTGAAAGAGTATAGAAATGTGATTCGAGGACGAGCGCGCAGTCAAGCAACGTTTGGCTCAAGATGATGTCGCTCTTGAAACGCGTGGCTAAGCTGATAAGATGGACTGAATGGGAGGAATTGCACAGAAAAATTGAAGAAAGTATGCATATCTAAATGGCCTTTCACGTCAACGCCAGACTGGTCCTACCATCGCTCAATGCAATTGAGTCGATTTCTACTTGAGATTGTTCAAAACAACAGCACTAGCAGCACTCAAGTTCAACTAGTAGTTGCAGTATCTCTGGGCCTTATTTTCGCCGAATTCGGTGGTGTTTCCTATCTTCCCAGCCATGGCATCCAGCGGCATAGCTGTCCTCCCAGGGTTTGTAAGAAGCAATGATTGACCTTTGTACTCGTGCCGCTGGCGCCACAATTCGTAGTTTTATTGCCATGTGAATCGGTACTAGCATGCTCCTTCACAGCCATAAAGGAGCACTGCACCACTTCCCGCTGACCCGATATTGAACACCGAGTCGGACGGCTTCGCACTCCACAATGAAATCCTATTTGCCTTCCAGCCAACCCGCCCGGAAGTCATGTCTCATCTGTTACGGAGTCTCAACAGAAGAAGGCGGTTTACCATCAATAACGCGTGCAATCATAGGCAAAGGTAATGCGCCAGTGTCACAGCTGGAAAGATTACAGCCCGAGTTATACGGATGAGGCGCCAGCGAGTTGCCGTTCTCTTTGATGTAGAGCGGGCTGCTCAGGTCCATAACATTGCTCTCTATTCGCAGTCTCCGAAGAATGCAGAGCGAGACCTACCCAGATCTCTGAACCATCTCCGCTTTCTCACATCCCACATCTCCTTTCTTCCAGCCTTGATTGCCCGCCCCACTCATTTCTTCAGTTGTGCATACTCGCTCTCGATGGCCTCCTTTGCCTGTTGACACGCGTCCCCGAAGACTTGGAGGATGTCCTTCAGCTTCTTGGCCACCGCCGTGTCGCGAGCAATGGCTTCATCCAGGGCCTTGCCGTCATTTGCAAGATAGTCGACGTCGGTGCTCGCGAATGTGCCGTCCCAATCCGGCCCCGCCAACGGGTCCGAGGTCGAATGTTGAGCCAGTCGCGACGGAGTCTTGAGATTCGCGTAGTAGGGAGCCGATCTCTTGGTCAACTTGGACGCGAAGAGGGGGTAACGCTTGCGAGCCTCGTCGTCCAGCGGCGTCTCGGTCAGTTCTTTGAGATGGGGTGCGAGGATCGTGATGTGCTGGCATCCGAGTTCGGCGGTGGCGAGAACCTCGGCGACATTGGCGTTGCTGCATCGAGAAGGTGAGTAAGAGCCCTGTGGATAGGGGTGGGCAGCTAAGCATACCTGGCAATCACAATCAAGGGCGGCTCTTTGCCGGTCTTTTCGTACAGGCGAGTGTACGTTTCCAAGATGTGAATCAACCTCGCGGACATGGGGTGCTGAAGCAATTGATTGTCAGCGAGAAAGGAGGACCTTTCGGGCAGTGCTGAGGACCATCTTGACAGACCGTGAGAGCAGGATCGGAGCCTTTGTGCATGAGCGACTCGTCTGAGTAGGCTGCGACTTCTGTGGGCCGCGGTGTCAGCTTTGGCCGTCAATGTAATATTTGGCCGCTAGGATTCTTCGAACGTACCATTGAAGTAAGGGCTGATGTAGAGACAGCCTGCCTGGGCGCAGGCGATGGCCTGTGGCAGACCGAACAGCGACGTCCCCAGCATTCGGATCCCCTCGCGGTTCAGCTGCTCGGCCGCCGCCATCGCCGGGCCGGTGACGGCAACCTTGATGGCGTACCGGTCGCGAGACACGCCGGCGTCTCTGAACGCCCGGTCGTACGCGTAGCACTGGGCGAGCACCGCCTCCTTGTCGTAGACGCGGCTGGGTGTGACCTGCACCAAAACACGGCCGGTGATGTTCTCGAGGTTGTTGGCACAGAATTGGACGGACTGGGTCAAGTCAGCACCGAGTCAGCACGCCACTCGACACAAGATGTTCTCCATTTCCGTGCCATCCACAATAGCAACAGGCACGCGACCGAGGAATGGGAAAAGACAAAGACGGCCACGTACCACTCGGTTGAATACTTCTTCCCAACCCTGGTCGCCGAACTCTTTTACCTTGCTCAAGTACAGATCCCGGAACTCGGGCAGCAGCATGGTGTTGCAGCAGATCACCTGGTTCGAGGTCTCTGACCGATTCAGGAACAATGTCAGTGAGCGAGCCCAGGAAACGGAAAGCCTCCTCTCGCCGATTTTCTCTTCACATCGCGGCGGCACGTACGGTTGTGTGGCTTGAATGGCAGTGCCTTTGCCACTCTGGGATCGATCGAGTCAACGTCGACATTGCAAATCTCCTCCAATGCCTCGACCAGGCTCGGGCTTTTCTTCTCCATAGAACCCATGTTTGTTTGCGAGAAATGAAACCCCGATTCAGAGATGATATAGTTTTGCTGAATGAAAACCACAAACCAGGTGTTTACAATTTTAAAACCATCAGCTACGCTTCTCTTGCCGGATTGATGGATTGATATCAGCCTGGCTAAACAACACCCAACTACCGGGAGTCAGGGACCTCAAAGTGTCTCCATACCCAGTCCAGCCGAGCCGCGGCTGGGCATCCGACTTGGGACGCTCGCTGGGTTTCAAGTCCAGCACCGGCAACCAGTAGTGCCTTTCTCTCACTTTGGTTGTCAATCATTGCTTGAACGAACCAATAACTGGGATGTGCGGCCCGTGATGCCGCCTGTTGGGTGCACACTTCGCAGTGAGGGGAGGAGTGGAGGGGGGACAAGGGGCACAGACACCGCCTAGGCATCAGAAGTGGGAACCGCGCCCTTTCCGCTTACCCCCGGTTTCTCCGAAGCAGTGTGCGCCTCTTCAGTTCAGTGGGCATTCAGAAGGCCCCATGGGACTTTGACAGGAGAGATACACAGTGGAAGCTGCAGAGTATGTGGCAACCTCCCTCGGGTTTGAGATGGTCCCCCACGCACCCCTATCGGGCTGCCTGTCTCGGTCGTCTTGATGCCGTGAGGCGGGGCCGTCGCGTTGCCCAACATGACCGACGTTAAAATGGTTCCTGGGTGACTTCTCCAGATTCACCAATGAATCCTGAGCGACGCCCCCGGCCAGTTGACAATATCCCGTTGAATCGTGTCGCCGTGGGAGTTGTGTGTATAGATCGAAGACAAGGAAGAAATCGTGGGACTTTTCCATTCTTTATCCACCATCCCTTGCCGCGGCAACCACTGCAAGAATGGAAGACTTGAGTATCCCAACGGCCAACGATGCCTGTGTCATGCAAAAGCTCGCCACCCTCGGCATGGAGAGTCGGCCGATGCCTCCAGATCCTGAACCATACAGGTAAGAATCGAGAGGTCACGCCTGTGTTGCTGCCGGAGAGCAATGCCTGACGTGAACCCGTCTAGCGTCGTAGTTGCGCCCAAGAAGACGGGCATTTGTGGTTCCGACATGCATGTGTTTCTCGATGGAGTGGTATGTGAATCGAGGAAATCCCCCCCAAGGCAAAGAACTCACACCATGTACAGGCGGGCGAGTCCAAGTTCGAAGATCCTCTAATCCTAGGTCACGAATCTGCCGGGGTTGTGGCCAAGGGTAAGCTTTGTTGACGAGGCTCTCCCCCCGTGTTCCTCTGTGACAAGCCCTTGGATCAACGCCGCTGACGGAGAAGCTCAGTTGGATCGAGAGTGACCACGCTGAAGGTTGGCGACCGAGTGGCCATCGAGGTTAATCTCCCCTCTAGTGTTCCTCTTTCTCACGGGAGTCAAGGGTGCTGACAGGTCATGCTAGCCGGGTATTTGCTGCCTGCGGTGCGAATTCTGCAAAGGCGGAGAGTGTAAGTGAGACTTGCAGTTTCCTTGCGCCCTCAAGCTGTGTATGTCTACCGAACAAGACTCCTGACACGGGAGTACTTGTCTTCTAGATGGTCAATGTGGCGACCTCAAGTTTGCTGCTGCCGACGGGTTCGACGGCACCCTTCAGGGATTCTTCACCATTCCTGCCGACTGGTATGATATTCCCAGAGGTTCCAGCTTCAAGATGCTGGCTACTTGGGACTGACGGGGTTGATATTCAGCTGCTACAAGCTTCCAGCAAACGTGTCCATGGAGGAGGGTGCATTGGTCTGTTTTCTCCGTCCACAGCACATCTGCCCCCCACGAGAAACACCCTGATAGAGGGGCTAACAATCAAAAGGTCGAGCCACTCGCTGTCGCCGTCATGGCGGTCCACAGCGTCGCCAAAATGCCGCATAACGCCAATGTGGCCGTTTTCGGGGCAGGCCCGGTCGGGCTGCTGTAAGTCAAATCCCTCCTCCTGACCTCTGGCTGGGCTCGTGTCGGAAGAGGGACGAGTGACTGATCCGGAGCCTTGCTAAAAACGCGCAGGACTATGGCAGTTGCTAAAGCGCTTGGAGCTCGTCGCATCCTGGCCATCGACGTCCAACCACACCGACTCGAGTTCGCCAAGGGTTATGCGGCCACCGACATCCACGTCGCCAGTCCCAAGGAGCCCGGCGAGGACAACATGACCTACTCCAAACGTCACGTAAGCCGAGCATACCTGACAGCCGTGCTCTTCATCCCGACGAGTCTAACGGTTGTCTACAGGCCAAGATCATCATGGACAAGTTCGGCTTCGGTGAACGCGGCGAGGGCATCGACCTGGTTGTCGAGTGCTCGGGCGCCGAAGTGTGTGTCCAGACGGGCATCTGGCTGGTCAAGCGACGCGGCACCTACGTCCAAGTCGGTGCCGGACCCGCGAATAACTTGATCCCAATGTCGATCTTTGTCAACAAGGAGGTCAAGATGATTGGCAGCTTGAGGGTGAGTGGTGATATTTATGAGTTGGCAGACTCAGACTCTACGAAATGCTGTACGACGCTGGACAGACCAAGGCTGAATGTTTGATTCCTTTGCTGTAGTACGGTCCAGGATGCTACGCCATGGCCATCGACCTCGTTCGCCAAGGGCGCCTCAACCTCAAACCTCTATTGACTCATAGGTATGTCTCAACACTGCAGGAACGAAGAGTCGAAGAGTCCTTTCGCGGTTGCGGGCCAACGGACTGACCGTTATAGGTTCCCCTTCGCCGATGCAATGCTGGCCTTCGAGACCACCCGAAAGGGGACGGGCCCAGATGGCAAGATGGCGATCAAGACCATCAGTGAGTTTTCCCCGACCTCCTCCAGGCTCATGTTGTGCGCTGTCTGACCATGGTGAACCCACACAGTCGATGGACCGTTAGCCCATTGAAGCATAGAACGATCCTAATGGCGCACGTGGTGTTGTTCCAAAGAGCGACTACATACACCGGGAGTCCCTGCTTGTTTTACTAGATTACATCGGTGCATATGCTGCAGAGGAGGACATTGGTGGCCCAGCGCCACTTAGGGAATACTGATCTGGTCAACATCAGGCGACTCGAGCACTGGGACTTGTGAGGCACAAGCCAGGTTTGAAGATGGTGAACAGATGACCGACCATACATAGAGGACGCGTTATTTAGTTTGTGTTGGCTCCAAAGACTGGATGGACGGGGACTCTCAAGAGCAACACAATGAATCAACGCAACAAAAGCCAGCCTGGAGACCCATGCCCCTGGTCTTCAATCACAATACAAGAAAATTGAACACAGCTGGACAGTATCCAGATTCTGAAGTCTTCTGGGGCGTGATGGTGGGCAATCTGCCACATTCTCGCACAGTAGGTACTAATAAGACCGATTCGGCATCGCGGAGAAAAGTCAGGAGTTGCTTTCTGGGCCTGCTGATGCTCGTGATGCACGAGTTTGCCCCGACGTAGTGTTCTAGACGTTCAGGCAGGAGACACGGCGGTATGGCGGGTACCCAACCGCCGCCAACCAGTCCGTCCGCTCCCAGCCACTCTACAAGAAGCCTTCCCAAGTCCCCCTCGGCCGTCGGTGGACAGCGATCGGGTGGCTCTGTTGTGGAAAGCCTCTTCGCCGACCGTCTCGCACCCTCCTTGGCTGTGGGCCATTTCTCGTTGCCAAAGACGTCGAAGCATAAGATCTGGGTCGATAAGTTCAGTCTCGATCTTCGTCGTGGCCGTGCCAGTCAGCTGTTGACCACGACCACCGGCAGTAAGACCACAGCCACAGCGTCGAAGCATCATCGCCCTCTTACTTGGCCTTCGCCTTCGCTACCCATCTCCTTAGTAGAGGCTCTAACCCTCCCGAGTCCGCCACGATGCGGACACGCCATTTTGTCAATGACCCCGTCCAGTTGGTCGCCGCGGCTCTCAAATCTCACACCGTCATCCGGCCTGAGTTGAGGCTCGACGCCGACAACCAGGTCCTGTACGCGCCGCGGAGGACAGGTCAGACGTCGATCATCTCGGGCGGCGGCTCTGGACACGAACCGTCCTTTACCGGCTTCGTGGGTGAAGGGTTCCTCTCGGCGAGCGTGGCGGGCGGAATCTTCGCGTCCCCCTCGTCGCGGCAGGTGCTGGCGGCCATCGAGAACGTTGAGCACTCGGAAGGCGTGCTGGTGACTGTCATGAACTACACGGGGGACGTGCTGAACTTTGGGGTCGCCGTCGAGAAAGCACGGGCGAGGAACCCGGCCCTGCAGATCGAGACCCTGGTGGTGGGCGACGACGTCTGCGTCCCTCGAAGTAGGATTGGAAAGGTTGGCCGGCGGGGGATCGCGGGCACGGTGCTCGTCCACAAGGTCACCGGAGCCATGGCCGCGGCCGGCTACAAGCTGCGGGACGTGGCTCGAGTCGGGAGGCTCGTCGCCGCCAACCTGGCGAGCGCCGGCGTAAGCCTGAGTCGAGTCCATGTGCCGGGACATCCTCCTAGTCAGGAGGAGTCCGGCGAGAGCAGCGCCGATCCAATCGAACTGGGCATGGGAATTCACAACGAGGCCGGCTGTGACTGGAGGAGCGGCGTCGACGCCGAACTGCCGGCCGTTGTGCGCGCCATCTTACGGCAACTACTGGATGTCGGCGACACGGAACGGAATTTCCTGCCAAACCCGACCAAAGATGCCATTCTCTTGGTGAACAATCTCGGTGCTCTAAGCGTGTTGGAGTTAGGGGCCGTGGTGAGCGAGGTCGCGGATCAACTACGACAGGACTACCAGATACGACCCATCCGCGTCTTCGCCGGGACCTTCATGACTAGCTTGGACGGACCGGGATTCTCCGTCAGCCTGCTCAACAACGTGGACACGGGCGTCGAGTCGAGCCTCGTTGCCCTCCTCGACGCGCCGAGCAACGTGAGCGGCTGGCACGCTTCCACGAGAGTGTCGGCCCCAAAATCGACGCCGGAGGAGGCCGGGGCTTCGCCGACGTCGAGACAGGAGGCGACAACAGGGGACGAGCCAAAGAGCAACCTCAAGTGTGACATGGGACAGACGACCCGTCGTCTCCGGGCCGGGTTGGAAGCCCTCGAGGCTGCCGAGCCCGACGTCACAAAGTACGACAGTGTCGTGGGGGATGGAGATTGCGGCACGACCCTTAAATTGGGAGCAGAAGGTGAGTTTGACAAACAATCGGTGAGCTCAACGGGACTCAGGACGCTCACTGACGAACACCACGAACAACCAGGCATCTTACGGCAGATCTCGAAGGCGCCGCCCCGAGACATTGTTGACCTTCTCATCCGAGCCACGGCCAGCGTCGAAGAGACCATGCAAGGCACGTCGGGCGCTCTGTACGCCATCTTCCTCAACAAGCTGACACACCACGTCCGCCTCCGCGTGCACGAGGCTGTCCCGGTGGACGTCGAATTTTGGATCGACGCTCTCGACTCGGCCCTCGCGGCGTTGACCCAATACACGTCGGCCCGGCCGGGCGACCGGACCATGATGGACGCCCTGGTCCCTTTCATCGCGGCTCTCCGCGATACTCGGAGTCTCAAGGCGGCCAGTCAAGCGGCGCAGGAAGGAGCAGTGGCCACGAAATCGATGCGGCCGGCCTTTGGGCGGACCGTGTACATTGGGAACGAAGACACCTGGATGGGAGAGATTCCGGACCCCGGAGCGTGGGGGCTGGCACAGTTTCTGCAAGGGCTGGCGAGCTAGAGGCAACGAACAGACATAGAGATAGCCGTCAACTCTCTAGTTCAACATTCAGACGCTGTAGTAATCTTGAGAAAGGTGATCAAGGACATGGGGCGCGGTGTTCACGACTAGGTCGCGATGGTAGCCGTCTACATAACCCTACCCTAGTACTATGTAGATGTAGATGCATGATGGAATGTGAAACGCTGTCATCAGGCTCCGGATGATGTTCGCCCGTGTAGGGGTAGATTCTGCCTATCAGGAAACGGCTGATCTGGTGGCAATATGCAACCCCCCTTTACCCTAAGCCTCGGCCTCCAGTGCTCCACCTCGTTAATCTGGGCACCGGACACCCCCTGTGGGGGAGAGAGTAGATAAACCCAACCAAGGCCTCGTCCGGAGTGGGACATGTATTCATGATCACTTCACCTGTCTGAACCAGCATCAGCATCAGGATGAACTACCCGCGCAGGCGAGCCCCGATTGCATGCAATCTATGTCGACAAAGGTACAGTTGAGCTTTCCGCACCAATGCCCCCGGTCAAGGTCCAACCGTCGCTGATGCGTGAAGAGCAGAAAACGGCGATGCAATGGCGAGAAGCCCGCCTGTAGAATGTGCCGTGACTCCAACACCAGGTGTGAGTATCAAGATGGGTCTGGGTCGAGCGAGAAGTATGTCCACGACCATTCACTCGCACATATAATGTCAGGGTCGTGACCATGTTAACAAGCACCCTTTACCTCGGCCATAGGGGCGGCGAAGAAAGCCTTAGAAGCCCGTCTCCAGCCACACTGCTGCGACGACTGGGCGAGCTGGAGCAGATGCTCCAACATCAGAAGGAGCTTGTCTCCAAGCTGTCCACGTCCACCACTCCTCAACTACCGATGACGACCGACGACGACGAGGACGCCTCGGCGGGCCTAAGCCTGGCATCTCCCGAGGGACACCCGCCACGACGGTTGTCGACACCACCACGGCGGGCATCTGTGCCACCACCCGCATTCGTGGTCGGTGGCTTCACGCCCTTTACGCACTTGACGCCCCTCACGCACCACCGCAGCGACAGTTCGTACGCGGGGGACCTTTCAGAACCGTCTCACGAGCCACTCCCCCGCAACAGCAGGCCGCCGACTGATCGGGACGGCGATGAAGAAGTGCCTCTGACCATCCCCGTGGGCCACAACACAGCGACGGCCAGTCTGTTCTCTAACCGACTCGTCCGGAGCCTGGTCGGCGACTACCCGGAGGACCTGTTCTTCCAGATCGAACAGTCGCAGCCGCTGTCGGTGTCGCCAGCGGCGTCGCACTACGCACCACTGCCAGAGGTGCTGGCGTCGTTGAACCTGGAAAGGTCCCACACCAACGCGCTTGTGGCCGGCTTCTTCGCGCGTGTCCACGGCTACCATCCGCTCCTCGACCGGCCGACCTTTATGGCCCGGCAGTACGAGCGCCTGCAGGCCACGGGGCCCCAACCGGACGCGGACACGGCCTTGTGCCTGGTCGTGTTCGCGCTGGGACGCTTGACCTCGACCCCGACCCCGGGAGATGCTGCCGGTCGTGATGAGGAGAGCGAGAACTACTTCGCCGCTGCGTACACGCTGCTCCTGCTCCGCTGGCCCGAGTCGTTCGGGTCGGACACGTCCCTGGTCCTCGGCCTGGTATACGCCGCGCTCTATCTCTGCTACATGGTGAGGCCGTTGCACGCGTCGAGGCTCATCCACATGGCCTCGTATAGTCTTCAGTTGATGACCAACCAGTACGCTCCGTCTATCTTCTGCACGGCCCGGTATTAACAATCAGACTGTCAGATTGTACATCAGCTCGGTGCCTCAAGATAGCAAGGATCATATCTGTCGACTATGCTGGGTGTGTTTCGTGCTGGAATGGTAGGGCATGGCTGCTCTGACACTGGCACTGGCTGACCGGGAGACACTATAGTGATAGCCTGGCCGAGTTCCATCTACCACGCAGCGGGATTGAAGTCCTCATCGACAAGCTGCCCTTCCCTCGGTTCGACAACCAGAACGATCCCGACGCCCTCGCGAGCCTGGCCGCCTGCTCCATCCGCCGACTCCTGAACCGGATTCACAGCACCATCTATTCTAACAGCAACGGCAATGGCAATGGCAACGGCCTTCCAACCTCGACAACACCATATGCCGTCGCCGGCCCGACTTTGAGTTCTTCATTCGCCAGCGACACGGCATCGACCATGGACGGCTGTGGCGGGCCGACCATCACCTCACTCTGGGCCATCTGCATGGAACTCATGCGTCAGCTCGACACCTGGTACCAGTCGCTGCCTGACCTGATCCGACCGGACCTGTCGCTGACGTCTTCGCCGCCGCGCGACGTGCGCAGCGCCTGGCTGTGTCTTCGGTACTGGTCGACCAAGCACATCATCTACCGGCCCTTTGTCCTCTTCGTGGTCAACCTGGAGGGCGGCGCCGACACGCTGCCACTGCCACTGCCGCCTCATATCCTCAGCAGCTGCTACCTCTGCGTCGAGAGCTGCCGCAACTACATCGCCATCGCCTCCCATGTCCTCGTCCAGCGCACCCCCTACACCTGGATGATCTTGCATTCGTATGTGTGTCCCGTTGAGTCGTTGTACTGTACTAAACCGCCGCAGCGTGTTGGCCTGCACTTTCGTCCTGGCCATGACCTCACGCAGCCCGCTGCTAAAATCGGGAGTTCCAGACATAAGCCGGCTGTTGACCTCCATCATCCAAGCCACCCAGACCTGGGCCACTCCCGACTCCAGCGCCGAATCCATCATCTGGATGCTCCAGACCATCCAGCAAAAGGGGCGATTCAGGACGAGTCCGGGGCCTGGATAGCAGATGATGAGTCCCCGGTAAGATCCTCTCTCTCTCTCGCCCGAGGCTCTCTGCCTCCCATCCTACAGTAGGCTCGTGCGTCTATTGCGGGAAGCCTCTTGCGGCATCTTGGTGGGGGAAGGACAGCCGCCGTGGAGTGGCACAGAACCAGGGGCTTAGGCGTCCGCGTCAGCACCAGCACCAACACTACTCACCTAGACGATTAGAGCCCCGTAGGCCCAAATCTGCCCCTGTCCCACGGACCACAGGTGTGAAGTCGGCGAGAGCTCACGGCCCAAGGCTTGGAGTGAACGGGTGTGCGGCTAAGCGGAATATGTGCCGCAAACATGCAAACACATATGGCGTCGATCAATTCCATAGTCATTCATCGACGCTGCTGGCGGATCGCTGCGGGCGGGATCCCGCCTCTCGTCCTGGGTTCCACTGATCAAGTCCCCCTCCTAACCCCGGCCTTGTCGCTCATCGCTGACACGATCTGGCACTGCCTGGAACAAGACAGATCCCAGAGTGAGTCTCCAGACTCCCCTCTTCCCCCTCCTCAGGTGATGTTTGTTTGGTCGACGCACGTCCTCTCGCCACTGGGGGTCACTTGAGGATTTCCAGGGAGGCGCAGTGCGTGGTTTCCCGGGCTCTTGCTGCGCGGTATAAAGGAAAATTGTCGACTTCGACAGCAGACCGTTGAGTTATCTCGACGTAGACGCATACAACCTGCGGCATTGACGTTCTCTGCTCTGTCAATACTTATCCTTTTGTGCTTGACAGCTTCGAGGGACTTGCAAGACCCTGTTGTCACCGCCAACATGACCACCACCACCACCACCACACAAACAACCCAGACCTCGGAGTCAAGCCGGTTGAGGTTGGTGTCCAAACCTGGCTTATATAAGCAACACGATATACAATATACTGACACCACCTTTGCCTTTAGGATCAACGTCGACGCTGACCCCGACGCCGAATGGCTGAATGACCTTTGCGAGAATGGCTACGCCGTGGTCAAGGGTGCCATCCCCCGCGAACGCGCGGTACAGTACCAACAGCGGGCGTTCGACTGGCTCCGGTCGTTCGGCAAAGGGTTGGACCTGGAGGACCGGTCGACCTGGACGGCCGAGCACCTGCCGGTGCAGAGCAAGCTCAACACCTTTGACAACTACTGCGTCGTGCACGAAAAGTTCATGTGGGACGCGCGCCTCGAGCCGGGCGTTATCGACGCCTTCACCAAGATTTGGGGCACTGACGAGCTGTTGGTCTCGTTCGACTCCCTGAACGTCACGTTCCCCGGACGCAGCGATAAACCGCCGCGGGCCCCCTGGCCGCACGTCGACCAGTCCCCTCACAAACGCGGCCTCCACTGCGTCCAGGGCATCATTAACCTCAGCCACGCTGGGCCGGAAGACGGCTCGCTCGTGGTGCTACCCGGGTCGCACAAATACACGGCCGAGTTCTTCGATACGCAGACCGACCGCGACTCGTGGCCCACTATCGACTGGCGCCGCTTCAGCGAGGACGAGATGGCGTGGTTCGCCTCAAAAGGTCTGAAGGCCGTCAAGGTCGAGGCTGAACCCGGCGACCTGATCGTCTGGGACTCGCGCACCGTGCACTACGGGGGCGAGCCGACCGACAAGAGTGACGTGGTCCGGACCGTCATCTACGCCTCGTACGCGCCCGCTAAGCTCGCGGCTCCGGAGGCCCTCGAGGAGAAGCGCCGCGTCTTCGACGTCCACGGCGCCACCACCCACTGGGCCCACGACAACATCTGGCTGCGCCCGCAGCTCGCCCACCTGCCCGACGGCTCCCTTGACCCCCAGAACCGGTCGGAGCCGCTTGAGAAGCCCGAGTTGACCGACCGATTGTTGCAATTGGCTGGCTTGAAACCGTACTGAGCGCTTCAATATGATCCTCCTTGTCCCTAGTGGTTCGTGTATATAGTTCTAGAATCGGACGGATTTAATGTAGCAAACGAAAGAACCAACAAGATTACACAAGTCGGCCAGACTTCCTCAGTAAGACCCGGGCCATTCCCACATAGCCATAATCCACCCACGTCTATAGAGACATCTCATTATCCCACGCCACCTATAGGCGTGGAAAGTCCAGGCGGAAGGCGGCGTAGGGTCCATTCCCGCATAAACTAAGATATATAGCTCATATATTAACACCCGTCTACCCTCATTCTCCCTCCTTCAACAGACTTGGTGCTTCTCCAATACCCGTAGTCCTTTCGCGACCTTTTCCATTTTAAAGGGTCACATCTCAGCCAGCAAAAAGGTGACTACGACAGCATGACCCAGGGGGAGAGCGCGGAAGTACAAGGGCTGGTGGAAGTCGATCGACTCGCGCGGAAATTACTTTGTAAGTTTTTATGGAGGGTTTACAGCCAGGGAATCATCAATTTAACATGTTTTCTTCTCTCTCTCCGCCAAAAGCCAGGTTCGATTCGAGCAGGTCATCATCGCCGCAGGAGTCAAAGAGGATCGTCGTGGGGATTGCAGGTGTGCCGGGGTCGGGCAAGACGACGTTGGCCAGCCTGACCGCTGCCAGGGTCAACGAATTGTATCTTGAATCACACCGAGACGAAGACCCGGTCGCCGTGGCCGTGCCCATGGACGGCTTCCACTACACGCGGGAGCACCTCGCCGGCATGGCCAACGCGGCCGAGGCCATCCACCGCCGGGGCGCGGCCTTCACCTTCGACGCCGAGGGCTTCCGTCGCCTGATCGAGTCTTTGACCGCTCCTGAATCCAAGACAGTGACCGCGCCGTCGTTCGACCACGCGACCAAGGACCCCGTCGCCGATGCCATCACGATCCCGCCTTCGACCCGCATCGTCCTGGTCGAGGGCAACTACTGCGCCTTGGACAAACCCGTGTGGCGGGACGCGGCCGCCCTGCTGACAGAGCGCTGGTTCATCGACACGCCCCCCAGCCTGGCGCACCAGCGCCTCGCCACCCGGCACCTCGCCAGCGGCATTGTCGCCACCGCCGAAGAGGGTTGGGCCCGCGCCACCGGACCCGACGACCTTAACGCGCAGGAGATCCGCGCGTGTCGGCTGCCGTGCGACGAGGTGTTGCTTATCACATAGAGTGGAACAGTTTTACGTATGCGAACTGGCCCCCGAGAGAGTCTTAGAGACGGAGGGGGAGAAGAATGATAGAGCAGGGCAGGATAAGGTAAAACGAGCGACTAGAAGATCCTATTAAATAGTGAACTGGAAAGAGATGATTGTCGACACCACGATTCGGGAGAAAACATATCATTGGTTAGAAATGCATCCGTCTAGTTTATCGCTATACCCTTCCTTTTCTACCAGGCACAGTGCCCGCCGTCGACTCGAAGGTCGGCGGCGGTCATGAAGCTGCTTGCGTCGGACAGCAGGAACAAAATGGGCCCGCGGAACTCGTCGACGGAGCTCAGGCGGTACAGCATGTTGTCGCCTACCCACTGGTTCTCCATGCCGGGCTTCTGCAGCGCCTCGGCCGTGGCCGGGGTCCGGATGTAGCCCGGCGACAGGGTGTTCACCCGGATCAGGGGCATGCCCTTGCGGGATCCCCATTCGGCGGCCAGCGAGCGGGCCAGCTGCAAGACACCGGACTTGGACGTGTTGTAGGCGGCCGTGTCGACGCCCTGGTGGTGGCCATGTCAGTTGCCATCTTGGGTTGGATTCCGAGAGCCTCACCTTGTTCACCACGCTCCCGCTCATGCTCGCCACCAGCACCATACTCCCGTTGAGATTGGTCCTCTGCAACTCGGCGGCGACGGCCTTGGCAGCGGCGAAGGTGCCAATGACGTTGATCTCCATCAGGCGACGGAATCGCTCAATGGAAAAGTTGACCGCCGGGTCGTTGTCCGAAACGCCGGCACAGGCGACCAGGCCCCGGATCGGACACCGGAGCTGAGGGCTCAGGTCGGCAAACGCCTGGTTGACGGCGTCGGCCTGGGTGAGGTCGAGCTGCCGGAACAGGACCGTCAATTCGCGTTGGGCCGCGACTTGTTCTAGATGGGCTGTAGTTGAACTCGTCAGCCAAAACAGATCAAACTGGGAGAGCAGCAACCGCAGCAGCACTAGTCAAGACGCACCCCAAGGCCCTGGAGGCGGACGAGGGACAACGTCCAGACAGACAACATGGCCGCCTGCTTCGAGGACGGTCTCGGCGGCCTGGATCCCTAGATATCCAGCACCGCCCGTGACTATGCAGCAGAGTATCGTCAGCCTTTCTTCCTGATCTCTCTGTCCATTTCAACGAGGATGGCGACATAGGACATACTAATGATAGTGCGGCCATCCAAACGGAACAAGTCGGCCGTGCTGACCTGCGGACCGCCCTGGCGTTCTTTGGCCTCGCGAAACGAAGGGTCTGCAGTGTTGCTCATGGCAGGCTGTGTAGAACAACTTGTGGTCGCTGGCCGTCTGATTTCTGTCCAGTCTGTAGACTGTCACTATTTCGCAACGTCAAGCGCAACGATTGGGAGTGGTCAAAAGCGAGGGAAGAGTTCGAAGTTGGTGGTGGCCACGGTGAGCATGGCTTAATGATGATGGATCGACATGCCTTCCTGACCCCTTGTTTCACATGGCTCGCCGCAGTACGGGCCGGCATCAGAAAATCCTCTCGTTCTCGTGATGAAGACATGCACCGGAGATGCTGGAATCGCGTCAGGTGTTCAGCAGGTGTCCGCCCCCGAGTTTCCACGAGGGACAAGGCTGCCCGTCTTCCCCGTTGTTTGGTCGATCTACGACACCCAGTGTCTGGAAGTGTGGGAGCTTGGTGGGCATCATCGCAGTGGTGGCTCCAAGGCCATTATTGCCCCTCTTCTGGCCCCTTCATTCCGCATTCCGCCGCCGACCGCTGGCCGCTGGACTCTATCCAATGTCCACCTCAATGGCCAGGACTCACGTCGAGGTTCGACGGCCCTAGGCCCGATGGTCTCGAATTTGTGTCTACTACTGCTTGCCCGAAGACTCTGAGCTTTGCCTTAGGGCGGCTACCGCTCCGGTCTCCTAGGATGGAAACTGTGCCCTTCGCCGCCGCTCGACGCGGTGAGCTGCCGCAATGCGCAACGCTGCGGGCTTGCTTGATACCACAGACAATACACTGGCAGCAACACCAGTACGCTACGTGTGGTTGGTCAATGCTCTTTGCTCGGTGGATTTGATCATCTAACAGCAGGACAGCTTACTCGAGCCGTCGACCAAGTCTTCCGGATTTCCCTCAAAAGGTTTCTCAGAGTCTCTTTACTTTCTCGACGAGCATGTTTAGAGCCAGATAAAGATTTCTCGGACCCCTTTCCATCACTCTTCTCTCATACTCACAAGAGTCGAGGTGCGCGTAGGCGAGTCACACGCACTCTCTAACCCTAAACATGACATCTGCTACTGCCGGGCCTTTGCAGGGGAAGCTCGCCGTGGTGACGGGCGCATTTAGAGGTAAGCAACTGTGCTGTGAGATGGTTTGTATCATCCCCTGCGCTTCGACGTGCTGACGGTCCATCTTCACTCCAAGGAATCGGCGCAGCCATCACGCGACACCTCGCAGCCAAGGGCGCCAACGTGATCGGTCTGTACACGTCGGACTCGTCGACCCCGGCCGCAGAAGCAGCCGTCAAAGACTTGTCGTCCAAATATGGGGTCAAGATCGTGCCGGTCAAGGCCGATCTCATGAAGCCGGAAGAGGCGGGCCAGGCGCTGGTCGAGGCGGCCAAGGCCAACTTCGGCGGCAACGTGGTCATAAACATCCTCGTGAACAACGCCGGCGTCGGGGGGGACTACCCTCTGGGCGAAGTACCCATTCCCGAGTTCCACCGCATGTACGCCGTCAACGTCCTGGCCCCCCTCGTCATCACCCAGACCCTCCTGCCCTTCCTGCCCCACGATCGGTCGGGACGCATCGTCAACATATCGTCCGTCGCCTCGACCATGGGCTTCAAGACCCACACCCTGTACGGCGGCACCAAGGCCGCGCTCGAGGCCATGACCCGGACCTGGGCACGCGAGCTGGCCGAGCGGGCTACCGTCAACGCCGTCAACCCAGGCCCTGTCGAGGGCGACATGTACTTTGCGGCCGGCCGGGACTTCTGGAAGCAGCTCGACCCCTTCCAGCAGACGACCCCGCTGTCGGCCGTGCGTGAGGGTGTCGACAGCCCCGAGCTGGTCAAGATATGCAACGAGAATATGTGGGGCCGCCGTCCTGCGTACTGGAGCGAGGTGGCCGCCATTGTCGGCATGATATGCGGCGAGGATTCGGCATGGTGTACCGGCAGCATCGTCAACGCCAACGGTGGCCTCAGATTTACTTTGTGACGAGTGAGAAGGAAAAGACACAGAACACCTTATTTACCAGAGTCGAAAATGCATGAGCTTTTGTTTACGCGCCATGGTCTGCAAAATCCAGACCACGGACTCGGCACTTGAGTCGGGGGTGGCCCAAGGCTTTACCATGACGAGCACGTTGTCGAGGATGTTGGCGATGTCGGGCACGAGATGCTGAAGCGAGGGGCTCCGCGAAGCAAGAACAAGGACAAGAACGGCGGAAAGACAGCTGCCACCCCGCAATATTAGTAAGACCCTGATGAATGCCACAGTGAAGGCTCTACTCACGCTTTGATCGTCATCCACGTGTACTGCGTCCTTTCTTTCAAGACGTAGCTTGCAGTCTCGAGATAGTTCCGACAACTCTCGACGCAAATCTTGCTGTACTCGAGCACATACGGCGGCGGTTGGCCCTGGTCGGCCGTCGTCGTCGCCATGTAGATCAGGCACGGCCGCGAGATGATATGCTTGGCCGACCAGTAGCGCAGCCGTAGCCAGACCTCGAGTTTGTCGCGGGGCACGTTGTGCGACAGGTCCGGCTTCACCACGTGCGGCAGGTAAAAGTACCACGACTCGAGCTGCCGGGCTAGCTCATTGACCATGCTCTCTAGCGAGGCCATGGTCGACGCGGACCCGGGCGACCGGGCGAAAACGTCGACCGGGCCTGCCGTGAAGCCGGACGAGCCCGGCCGGACCATGCTGCCTCTTCGACCGCCGCCGGTGTTGCTGTTGGACGCGTAGATGGCGTTGTGGATTCGGTTAAGCAGCCGCCGGATCGAGCACAGGGCTAGGAACATGAGTCCATAGCGGTCACCGAGGTCATCCAGTCCGGGGAAGTCCATGCAATCGATGGTCACCTCGATTCCACTGCGCGGAAGGTGGAGTTCCGCCAGGGTATCACTTTACACCTTCTGTCAGTCTTTGTTTCAAGTCGTCCACGGTCAAAGAGTCATATTGTACTGACCATTCAAGAAGGAAACAGGTCCAGCACAGCCGTTCGGTGACGTGACTGCCCAACGCGCTGGGGGTTCGGGTGGTGGACCTGTCCAAGTCATCAATGATGAGGCTCCGAGATCCCGCCTCGGGCTTGAGCGTTCACCAACTTACTTGGACAAGACTTGCAATTTACTCGAGGCCATGTAGGCCAGTCTCCAAGCTGGCAGGGGCTTCGTCAAATAGCTCAGGTACAGCGAGGCAAACACCAGCCCCGCGGGGAGCGAGACGATTGGTGAAAATCCCACCACCCACTGGTGGACCAAGATGCGGTGTGCGACTGAAAAGTACTCCATGCCGGGGATTTCTTCGTCCGGGGAGAAGTCGCGACTTTCGGCCAGCCGGGGCACGAGCTCTCCCAGGGCGAGAATGACCAGGCACAGGCCAACGTCACAAATGTCGTCGGCATCACCGTGGATCGCCTTCTTGAAGAAGGTCGTGAAGCAAGTCTCGTCGAGCACGGGGAAGCTCGGATGCATGCTGGTGAAAAACGCCGAGATGAGGGAGCGGCTGTGCTCTTGGTTGGCTTGGATGGCCTTAAGTGTGGATGCCACGTCTGGTGCAGATTCGAGCTGCGGGATGGAACTCCTCAAGGACTCGATTTGGTAGAAGAAGTCGTTGGGGTACTCGCCAATCAGGGTTTGGATCGGCTCCAGCGAGAACAAGCTGCCCGTGGTCGTTTGATGTCCAACGGGAATGATGATCGGGTCATCTTCGCCCCTAGTTCCTTGACTCTGGCTCTGGCCGACTTCTTGATCTCCACTCGTCAAGGCCATGTCCACAGCAGGGGGCTGGAAAGTCAGCATGGGTATTTGGAGACCTATGGACGAAAGCATGTTGGCAAACTGAACACTCCCTCCGGCCGGATCCCTGCTGTGCAAATCACCCGCCATGGCGGTGGGCTCACTCGTGGCGAACGGGACCATACTCGGAGGCGAAGCGATTGCATCTCCGGCGGCGATTTGAGACGATGGGTACTGTTGAGGTTGTTGGTATTGTGGCGGCGGCTGTTGATAGTCCTGCTGTGGTTGAAACGGCGGCGGCGGCTGTCGCTGTTGCTGGTGGTATGATGCTGTGGGAGAATGACTCTCATTCTCATACCCTTGGTCGTGCTGATGGTGGTCTGTGATCCCACCATCTTGTTGGCCCTGGGCTTGCTGCTGCTGCTGCTGCTGCGGTTGCGGTTGCTGTTGCTGTTGCTGTTTGAGAAGCATCTCCAACTCGTCGAGCCGGCGCAGGAGCACTTCATGCGCTTGGTCAGGATTGTGTCTTTGTCGCTGGTCAGTTCGGGATCGCACAGCCTGAGGCCCGGGGCTGAAGAGCCTGTGTGGCTTACTTCTCGCTGGAGGTAACGGGATACTCGCACTCGAGGCCCGAGGAAATGCAGAGTCCACATGCAGGTCGTTGGCTGTCGCATCGCCGTTTCCTGGTCGATCAGCAAGACACTCTCGCTAGACTTGTACCATGCGGCTTACCTGTGCCGGCAAAAGCTGCACGCCATCGAGGCCCGTTTTCGAGGAAATGACATGGCGCTGGCGGTCCCAGCCTGTCATGGCCCAGGAGTGAATCAGACGAGAGAGGGAGGAGGGAGAAAGAAAAGACGTCCGGAACTTGCAGTGGCAGAACTTGCACCTTGAAACCTTAGAATCTCTCTGCCCCACGCTGTTTGGACCCTGTTGACAATTTGGTGGCGAAAAGCCCCAGGGCAGTCTGAGGGGCTTAAAGGGGGGTGTTAGGGTGGGGGTTTATAAAGGCACTAACGGTCTACCCTAAGCCCACGCCTGACACTCCCCCTCCTCGCCTATCGCCTCCCAAGGCGTGGTGATGCCCACCCCGGCAGTCTAACTCTAGGTGACAACCTATCCGGCCTCTAACTAAGTCATTGACTGACTATACGATGCTATTCACACGCGTTGATAAGAGGCTGCGCTGGACAGCCATCCCTAACCAACTAGAATCCTCTCTAGATAGGTCGCTTTGGGCAGTCGGTGTACTGTGTATGCAGTCTATGCAGTCACATGCTGTTGTGGTGGGCACTGTACAGCAGTGTGCACTACTGTCATGATTTTCTTCGTTGCTATCTCTCCTCTCTGCCTCTCTTTCTGATCCAAGACTTGCAGCTTTCTTCTTTTGAACTCCAGTGCTCGCCGTGGGGACACCGGTGGACACATTGCCACGTTTAGACGATCCAGAGAAAACAGCAGCGGCAGACCGTGAGGTATCTTCTATCTGTCACGGCTTAAGACTTTCTCTAGAAAGGCTCAAAAAGATTGGCCGCCGCTTCGTCCGGGGTATTGAAGACGTTGACTTCCCACGCCGGATCGAAGGTATATGGAATGCCCCCGAACCTGGTGGGCTGCCTGCGCCCAAGGTTCAGTAGCGCGTCGTAGCTGTAAGCGAAGCGAGTCAGCCGTTTGCTCAAAACTTGCGGCTACAGACATAACCACGTAGACAAATCTACAGTCTGCCAATTGTACGTACCTTTGGTCGTCCAGATCGTAGACTTGAAAATTAGACTCGATGCGCGACGGCTTGACAGACTTGGGAAGGACCGAGAACCCACGCTGTTAGGCAAGTCAGTGGGTCAAGAACCAGCAGCAGAAGAAGAAGAAGAAGAAGGAAGTTTTCTTCATTGTTCTCTCACCTTGATCCCCCAGGATGCCAGCACTTGGCCGGCGTCTTTGTCGTCCTTTTTGGCAATGTCGGCCACCAACGGGTTCCCCAGCACCTTGACACCGCCTCGCGAGGCATCGCCCCCGAAAGGCATGTAGGCCGTGATGTGGATACCCCGGGGCGTGCAATAGTCGAGCAGCTCTTGTTGATTGAGGTAGGGGTGTGCTTCCACTGTCGTTGGAGGGCAGATTAGACAGACTGGACAGTTTCTGCATAACTTAGCAACTGACCTTGGTTGACCGCCGGTGTCACCCCGGTATCGTCAATCAATTTTTGAATGTGACTCGGTCGAAAGTTGCTCACTCCGATACTATGGTTTGGCTCAGCATCAGGACTCACTCACAGCAAGTCGCGCCTGGTCTCTCGAGTAGCATACCTCTTGACTTTGCCTTGTGCCTGCGCCTCGATGAAGGCCTTCCAGGTCTCGGACAGGCTGATTTCCTTGTCGAGAAGCATTTTACCCTTGCCATCGTGCGGCTCCAGCTTGATGCCATCCGCGGAGGAGGCATCTTCGACGGCCGCGAAGCTGACAGGCCAATGGACCTATCCTCTGTCAGTCGCCAGCGATCCTATTACTCCCTTCCAGAGGTGGAGCCTGTGCATACCAGATACAGGTCGAGATAGTCTGTTCCAAGATCTTTGAGGGTTTGGGCCAGCGCCTTCTTCACGTTCTCGGGTCGATGGTGACTGTGTGACAAGCCTCAGTATCACCCCTTTCCTTGCCTCCCCTCGAATTTATAGCCACCACGCAGACTCACGAGTTCCATGCTTTGCTGGTGATGAAAATTTCCTCTCTCTTGAACCCCGGCTCCTTGGCTAGGATCCTGAGAGCGTGTCCAACCTCTGTCTCGTTCTTTGGGAGAGTCAGTGTGTGGTGTCGCAGATGGTTGGCTCACGAGCCCAGCGTACCCGGTAGAACTGAGCGCAGTCGAAATGGCGTATACCACATTTCCATCTGTGCAAGGCATCATCAGTATTGAACCAAAGCCAATGGACTGGGCTAAGGCTCCACGAACCCTGCTACAACTGCATTGGTGACCTCGCTGGGTGCAGAAAGGTATGTGCCCAGACCATTCAGGGGAATTTCATTCCCATCTAGCAACTTCGCCTTGCGCTTCTGTATTGGGACGTCGAGCATGGTGAGGAGAGGAATGGTCCAGGTATGATCTGGGATTTACGACGTTCCAACTAACAGAAATATCTACTATGTAAATGCTCTTGTTTCCTCCGTCTCTGCCACTGTCTAACGTACACACACACATACACACAAAGACAAGCAAGCCCAATTGTTACCTCATCAACACTCCCCGCCGTTTCTTTCACACAGCCCTTCAATCATGGGGCCTCCAGCCGCCGCTCTTCTCGGGCATCTGGTGGAGATCATCCGCCATGGCGCTGTCGAGACTCGACAGGAACTCCGATACGGAGTACTACAGGTCGTGAAGCTAGAGGGCTGCCTTCCTTGTCCCCCATTCCCCCTTGCCAATGACCCGCAACCGCCACCGCACGACCCACAGTCTCGCGAATGTGGCGGGATCAAATCCGCGGTAAAATATCGGGTAACAGGTAGCTCTCCACTAAGGCCTGCGATAAGTTTTGGCGATTAATGGTCAAGCGGAATTACCGCCCACGTCCGCCTGATGGCTCCGCGAGGCTGAACCTGCTGGACGCCCGACAGGCACGGAGTTCGGATGAGCACGTAAAGCAAGAAACCATGACACCATGACAATTTCCCCAGAAGTACTCCGCCTAGGACTACCAAGGTATGTGGAATTTGCTCCACAATCCAAGCGTCACGTTTTAGTTGGTTGGCTGAAGGTCATCGGATCACAGGGACACTCGGCAGAGGTCCCAAAACGCATCAATTCACGGCGGCCATTATCGCCTGAATCCACGTTGCATAGGCGACAACTTACGGAGATGTCACGGCCTCAGAAACCCATCATGTCTCTTTCATGTTTTGGAGGAGACTCGGCACGGGTCCGACTCACAGGCCTCGCGACTATGCATGGCACGTGGGTTGTTTGTATTTTCTCCGAGTTCCAGCCTGTAGAAGCAACTACATGGAAGGCTAAGGTCGAGACTCGACATCATCATTGCTCTTCCGATGATCCGCGAGACCGTAGACCGCCAGACGGTTTCCAGGAATCCTCGGTTGGGGATGATTCCTGTACACTTGGGCTGCAACTCAAAGGCGAATTCATGGGTTGTAACAGCGAAGATGGGTGCTGACCTGATTACATGCTATAGGCTCTGAGGCACTCTGAGCGGGGGAAGCAACAGCAACCGAAACAGGAAACAAACTATAGACGACTCTAGATAGCCTTGTCTGCCCTCCTATGGTCACGCTTCCTCTAAAAACCTAACTGGACGGTTCCATCGAGACAGTATTTGTCCGATGAATTGCTCAATGGTGATTCGTTGGCGGAAGGCCACCTTTGGCCATCTGCTTGGGACCCAGGGGCGAATGTGTATGGAGTACATACATGGTCCCTGTTCAAGTCAACCTGCCCTAGAGGCAAATGGATTCGTGACAAAGCGGCGGGTCTGGACAGACACACGAAGTAATCACACATCAACCTTGTGAGACGGCCCGCCTACCCACCAAGCTGAGGGTGCTAACTCAGCCTTTCGGGCCTGGAGAGTCATAGGGGCCCTACCATGCAAGGCCCTCCAAGCTGGCGGTATCGTAGTTGTATTGACTGGCCACCCCTTTTCGCTGTGAGTTCTGAAGACCAGCTGGATATATTCCTCACGAATAGAAGGGTCTTTACGTTTTTGTCAGAAGGAACATCCCCTATTTGCAGCAAAAGGAAGAGAGACCGTGGCGACCATGGTGGCCAACACTTCCAAAGCGCGGCACTATGACGCCGACGATCTGGTTGCCGTCAACACGCTGCGCGCTCTATCTGTAAGTCTCCTTTCCGGCCAGGAACAGGACTCTGCAGAAGAGATATGTCGTGCTAAGTTAGTCACGGGGTTGCGTTCATCATAGGTGGACATGAGTTACGCAGCCAACTCTGGCCATCCCGGAGCCCCAATGGGGATGGCGCCCCTTTTCCATGTCCTTTTCAGTAAGATGGTCAGTGATGCTTGCATGCTTGAAGAGAAAATATGATACTAAACCCTTCCAGAAATTAAACCCGGATACCGACAAGGACTGGGTCAACCGGGACCGTTTTGTCTTATCAAACGGTAAGGCAAGCCCTGGAGGAAGTGGTGATTTTCTTCTCAGCTCACACTTGAAGGACACGCTTGCGCCTTACTGTACTCGGTCCTCCATCTCTTGGGTTACAAGATTACCTTGGACGACCTCAAGGCATTTCGGGTGAGAGCTTGACCCTCGATCCTGACCCTCGATCCAGGTCATCAGAACCATCCCCCTAACAAAATCCACAGCAACTAGACAGCAACACGCCGGGCCATCCTGAAAACACCCACACGCCTGGCGTCGAAGTCACCACAGGGCCATTAGGACAGGGCTTTGCGAACGCCGTGGGCCTTGCAATCGCCCAAGCCCACCTGGGGGCGACGTACAACCGTGCAGGGTTCGATCTGTTCAACCACAAGACCTTTGTGGTCTTTGGAGATGGGTGTGCCATGGAGGGCGTTGCCTCGGAGGCTGCTTCGTACGTACTTGGTCGTGGACGGACTAACTAGTTGCCCAGCTGAATCATTGTTTCCCTCAGGCTCGCCGGGCATTTGCGATTGGAGAACCTGATTGCTCTGTACGACGACAACCATATCTGCATCGGTAAGAGAGCAACAGAGGCGCCAGGAAACCAGTTCCGGGAGAATCTGACATCCGAATGACAGATGGTGACACCGACAGCACATTCACCGAAGACGTCTTGAAGCGCTTCGAGGCCTATGGCTGGCATACTGAACACGTCCCCGACGGTAAGCGGCAAAGCAGCTCGATTGTCGACTTTTTCAATGGCTCATGCACGCTGCTTCTAGGTGATACCAACCTTGGCGCAATCGATGCGGCCATTGAACGTGCACTTGCAGTTCGAGGAAAGCCTACCGTCATCAAAGTGACCACGACTATCGGGTATGGCTCGTCATTGCAAGGGACCGCCGCCTGCCATGGATCGCCCCTGAAGATGGACGACCTGAAGCAATTCAGACAGAAGTTTGGCATCCCCGAAGAGCCCTTCACCGTCCCAAGCAAGTAAGTTTGTTGCCGCTCCCGTACCGCAGACCAGGCCTGACCGGCCTACTTCTCAGAGTCTACAAAGCCTATCAAGAATATGCGCTACGGGGTAAGAACGCGGAATCTCAGTGGCAAGAGTCCTTTACCGCGTATGAGGCGAAGTATCCGGAGCTCCACCAAGAGCTGTCGCGGCGCTTGAGTGGTGGTCTCCCTCAAGGTTGGGAAGACAAGGTAGGAGTATACAGGATGCCTGGGAGGACTCAGTTGCTGACTTGGGTTTGATAGCTACCAGTTTACAAGCCTGGAGACTCGGTGAGCCCTTCTTATTTTAGAATGTCGATACTATGGGTTGCTGAACCTTCTCTCAGGCCATCGCGAGTCGAGATCTTTCCGCAAAGGTGCTCGCTGCTCTTCAAGCTTCGCTGCCAGAGATGTTATCGGGATCAGCGGACTTGACCTCCTCCAATAAAACCATCTGGAAAGGAGCTGTCGATTTCCAACCGCCCGGGCATGTGGCCGTTGGATCCTATCAAGGCCGATATCTACGCTGGGGAGATGAGTAAACTTCTTTCCAATGCTTGCGGTGCTTGACTGACTCTTGACTTTACTGAGGGAACACGCCATGTAAGCGACCGCTGACAACGTTGTTGATGAGTGAGGAATGCTTCTGACCGTACGACTGATAAGGGGTGCCGCCATGAACGGGCTCGCTGCATATGGCGCGAATCTCATTCCTGTCGGAGGCACTTTTCTGAACTTTGTGGCCTATGCTGCCGGGGCGGTTCGTCTGTCTGCGCTGAGCCAGCTGCGCGTGATTTGGATCGCGACACACGACAGCGTGAGTTCTCTTGTCTACTTCGTGTCTGTGGTAAATGCTAGAATTCAGTCTAGATTGCCCTCGGCGAAGACGGCCCGACCCACCAGCCGATAGAAGCCCTGGCTCACTATCGAGCAATGCCAAACTTGCACGTCTGGCGTCCTGCAGATGGGTGAGCAAAAACAGATCAATTCGTGTAAGGCTGAGCCTCCGATTTTGCTAACTCTAGAGTCTAGAAACGAATGCAGTGCCGCCTACTATGTTGCACTTAAGTCGAGCAAGACCCCTTCTATCCTCGCGTTAAGTCGACAGGGCTTGCCTCAGCTCCAGGGGAGTTCCATCGAAGTGGCGAGTCGAGGTGGATACGTCTGCTACGGAGGTCAGGTCGGCGAACAGCGAGACATTACGCTCGTCTCTACTGGCTCCGAGGTACACAACCAAGTAAAATCCTTGTTGTTTCCAGAGCTGATCGATATAGGTTGCCACTTGCATTGAGGCGGCTGCCATACTTGAAAAGAGTCATCAGCTCAAGGTGTCTGTTGTGGTGAGCAAGATTATACCCCTCCACCGTTACTCGTCCATGTTGGAGTACAGCTGCTCACTCGTTGGCCTGGTAATAGAGCATGCCTTGCCAGGAAGTCTTCGACGCTCAACCTGAAGAGTACCGGCTATCGGTTCTACCAGCAGGTGCCCCAGTCATGTCGGTGGAAGCTGCATCGACCCGGGGGTGGGAGAAGGTCTGTCCATATGTCACCGATTCTGCCCGGACTCCTCGCTGATATAGGTCTCTCAGTATTCGCAAGAGCAATTCGGTATCGACGAGTTTGGCGCAAGTGCACCCTGCGATGCGTAAGTGCCTGTCATTAAGCTGAGGCTTTTTCATTGCGGCTTGCTGACTAGATGCCTGCCGCAGCCTGTTCAAGAAGTTCGACATTACTCCTTCTGGTGTGGCCAGTCGGGCTCTGGAGACGGTTTTCTTCTACCAAGGCACCCAGAATCTCCGATCTCCCCTCCAGAAGGCATTGCAGAAGACTCGTCCATGAAGAATGGCCTTCTATGGCTTGGCTCGCCTAAGATGAAGATCATCACAAGTCGTACGGCACATTGGAGTGACCAGATCCGCCTTGAGAGGCAAAACAGTAGTAGCTTTTGGATGTTTAGACAAGCTGAAGTTAGATTAGAAATCTCACAAAAGCATGTATTTCTTTCTAAAAAAAAAAAGAAAGATTCAGATCTAACAGGGTTGTATCTCATTCGTATAAAAAGAGCGCAGTAAAGCTGGAGATTATCATGCAATTTTCGCCTTAGACCGTAAAGTTAAGGTCGCGTGCAGGATATTTCAAAGTCAACATAATGCTCCTCGCTACAAAGCTTCAATGGCAGTAGATTTCGGTCTAAGTGAATTACCAGACCTTGAATATGACTCCTGGCACCTCCTGACACCTTGGACGACATAGTACAGGGTGGGCTTTTGTCATGGGGTCTTCCGACTTGGGCTTTAGCAACGTAGGAGGTCCATACGACGAAGGCGGGGCTCGGTGGAAATAGGTGGAAGTCAACTCAGGCTTTCCCCGCCGCCAGCGCTCTAAACCTCCAGAGCGTCGGAACTTCGGGCTGTTGGATTTATTGTTACCCGAAAAAGACCAGTAAAGACAATCCTAGAGTGGATAATTAGAAACAAAGCCTCCTCCTTTCTATTGAAACGTCTGGTCTAGCAGAGAAGAACCAACTTTCCTAGTGACATTCAATTCTGATACATTGATAGCCCCCTTTCCTTGACCTGCCTGGCCCTCTCTACCGCTCAAGAGGAAACATTGAACAACATGACTTCTCCCCAGGAGCTGGTCCAACTGGACAATTTCCAGGACATCTTCCAACTTAAGGGCAAGATCGCCGTGGTGACGGGCGGATCGCGAGGTCTGGGTCTACAGACGGCGAGCGGGTAAGTCGACCTCTCGGTCAATTTTGGCTGCTCTGTCAAATCCCTGATCTCGTGTTTTCTCTCTCTCTTTTTAGCTTTCTGCAAGCCGGCTGCTCCAAGGTCTATCTGGTGGCGAGAACGGCAGGGGACCTGACGGCGGCCGCCGACGCGCTCAACGGCCTGTCAGCGCCTAGCAGAGCTGCCGACTTCAAGGCCATCCCGATCGTGGCCGACATCTCGACCTACTCCGGGTGCATTCAGATGGCCGAGGAGATTGCAAAGACGACCGACCACATCGACATCCTGATCGCCAACGCCGGGGCCACCTTTATCGGCAAGTTCGACGATTACAAGGCCGACGACTTCGCCAACGTCATGAACGTCAACGTCAACAGTGTCTTCTTCTCGACTCAGAAGTGAGTGCAAGCAACACCCTAAACCTCTTGTGTTTGCTTCGGCTGATTCTCGTCTTAACCTCTCCCCAGATTGACTCCGCTTCTGGAGGCTGGAGGCACCGTGCAAGATCCTTCTCGGGTCATCATGGTCTCGTCGGTGGCCGGCGTCGTCATTGGGGACGTGGGTGATCATGGCAGTAAGTTTTGATCGGGTTTCACCTCTTGACTTTCCGATTTTTCTCCCACCATGATCGAACCTAAGACACCACAAAGCTGACAAATTCTCTCGTAGCTTACGCCTATGCAGCGTCCAAGGCGGCCGTGGTTCACCTGATGCACAACTTGGCCGTCGAGCTGGGCCCGAGACACATCACCGTCAACGTCGTCGCTCCCGGCATCATCCCGACCAAGATGAGTGGCCCTCTGATGGCCCGCCACGGTGGGCTGGAAGCCGTGGCCAAGCAGGTTCCGGACCAGAAACTAGGCTCCAAGGAGGATGTTGCCGGTACCATGGTCTTCCTGTCGAGTAGGGCGGCTCGTCACATCAACGGTGCCACCATCGTCCTGGACGGAGGGAGCTTCTTGGTCCGAGGATGCGCCTAGCAGGTGTTGGGCCGGGGAACTGAAAGGAGGAGAAAGGATAAACAAGCCACAATCAGTATACAAACAACCAGAATAAGCGAAGTAAAAATTGGCCGAGTCATCATACCATAGAAGCCTTGCTTTTGCTGTAACAGCTCAAACGCCGCCAGAGATAGTTTATCAGAGACTCACACAGCATCTTATTGTGTATCTAAGGTCTTCGACATATCTCAGCCGTTCATAGACGCGTAAGTAACGTATCTACTCACTTCGCTCGAACCATAAATCACACAGTAATCTCAACACTCCGTTCAACCACCAATTCATCGACTTCTAAGCACCTTCTTCCCTCGTCAACTTGTCGGCCGCTTCCACGTGGAACGTGACGGCTTCAGCCTCGCCGTCGACAGGTATGGCGGCGCGAGCCCGGCGAACTGCATTGTTACCGTCGAAGATGCCATCGATCTCTTCGATCGTCAGTCCTTTGGTTTCGGGGAAGCCAAAATAGATAAGAACTGAGTAGACGGCCAGGATGGCGACGTAGACCCCGTAATACTTCCAGGAGATGGCGGACAGGATGATGGGATTCACCCACTGGTTGACCGCGTTCGCCGAGCCTTGGACAATGTTGTAGATGGCCTGGCCCTTGGTACGTAGTGTGTACGGCAGGATCTCGACCGAGTACATATTAGACAGCGGCGTCCAAGCGATGGTATAGAAGCCGAAGTAGATAAAGAGGAAGGGGATGACGGCGATACCCAAGCTCTTGGTCCCTTCCTTGGCGTAGGAGCCCGAGAGCGCCATGACGATGGAGAATGAAAAGAGCATGCCGACGGTCGACAATAGCCAGAGAGGTCGCCGTCCGACTTTTTCGACCGACAGGGCGGCGGTCGTCGAGACAACCACTGTGATGGTACGAGTCAGTATGGGCTTCTAGACATGGGACAAGATCTGGCTTGGACCTACAGTTCCAGCATTGGAGGCCAAGGTTGACACAAGCCTGTTGGCGAGTGGACTTGATCCCCAGGTTGTTGAGAATCGGGGACAAGTAGTACGAGACGATACCGTTGCCGACCCAATTCGTACCGATGGCGATAGCGACGAGTATGAACAGTCGGTGGCGGTTATTTGGCTTAAGGTAGTCCAGATAACCTCCCTGCTCGAGTTCCGCCTCTGCTTGCAACGTCCTCAAGATCTCTTGGTGCTCGAGTAGAACGAGCTCGTCGGCTTCACCGCCGTTTGTGTGGTATTTGACCAGGACCTGGAGAGCCTCCTCGGCCCTGCCGTTCTTTGCGAGCCACTGAAACAACATACTTTAGCCTCGCGATCATAATCAGGTGTGTCGATCATCTTACCCTAGGTGACTCAGGCATTGTCACCGTCATTAGAAGAGTGGCCACCGGCCCAACGAGCTGTAGGTAGCATGGGATGCGCCAGGATTTGCTTCCGTTCAGGCTGCGGGTACCTAAGCAGATTGAGGCCGAGATCACAGCGGCGATGTAGTAAATGGTCGTGTCTAGTTTCCCCCAAAACCATGTCAGCCGCCAAGTCCTCTCTGTCTCGATAATTTCGGCCTTTTGGCTGCTGTCGCTTCTTATGTATTTCACTCACACAAACTGCCGATCTGAGCTCGAAATCGGGGATGGGCGAACTCCTGGAGCAGGGTCGGCGCAATGGTCAGGCCCATAGAGATTCCCACTCCCATCAGTGCTCGCCCTGCAATGTACATGCCCAAACTCGTGGCCGCCGAGTTGACAATGGCCCCCGCGCTCTGGATCACCATTGTTAGCCGGACGAATGACTTGCACTCTCGTGGAGGCCATGACTGCCTGGTGGGCGACTCACATTGATGGCGATGCCGGTCCAGACAGCCCAACGACGGCCAAATCGTGAAGCTATCATCTCTGCGAAATAAGGCGCCACGAGGCCAGGAAATAGCGCGGCCGAGTTCATCAGCCCCAGGGTATTGCCCTTGGGGTGGTGGAAGAACTCCTGCCAGGCATCGATCGTCTGCAGACCATTGAAAAGGCTTCCGTCATCTAGTGAGAGAAGAGCATGAGCATTGGACTGCGCGTCTTGTCTGTCTGGGACGAGCGAGCGAAGCAAGGCACATAACTTACATCCATTGAAAAAAAGAGTGCCGCACAGGCCAATACAGTGAAAAACATTCCAGCGCAACGCTTGGCCGACATGTTAGCAAAACACCCCCTACCAAGTGTGGAATAAGATCCCTGGCGAGGGGAGTCTTGGCCATACCAGGGTCCAACCACCAGTTGCTATTGGTGTTGTTTGCACATCTCTTGTAATTGTTGCGTGTTGGAGCGGGTGCAGGGGCCTGCACACCTCCCATGTTGAAGGTGTGTATGTCCTTGGTACTTGAGAAAGAGATTTCTTGGTAGAGATGGTCACCTGGATGGTGTGTACTGTGTAAGGAGGTCACGGTACTTGGTGCTGCCAGGTGAAAATGTAAAAGCCTGGTGGGTTGACCCGGACATTCGCTAGATTTTTATACAAACCGTAGGAGCCGGTCCATTGGAATAAGAAGCCCCCTAGAGCCTCCACGGTGCCTATGGTGCTCGGCTATAGAGGCGTCTGGGGGGCGAATGATGGGGTTGGATCCGTGGAGTCTTTAGAGGCGGGGTTGGGGCTGGTCGTAGATGGCTCCCGCCTCTGATTCTTAGGTTAAGGTTGGCGAGGCCCCGCGGCTTCGGGGGACAAGAGGGGCAAACTATCCTTAAACACCTGGGAACACCTGGCGGTTTACCGCCCGCCTACCTAGCCCGTCGCTACCGCCTCTCCGTTGTTAACAAGCCGCCCGCACGACTCTCAAGCGGACATGTTCTGGCACTCCTCCGCCCCCCCAGCGAGCGAATAAGCCTACTGCCCTGCTGACTATGACGAGTTGTGGCTGTGATAGCTTATTCACTAATCAAACATACCCCCTGAGTTTGTACGGGTGGCGATTCCCAGAATCCGTAATGGGGTAGGGCAGGAGGATTTTTGTGTCCTCGTGACGGTTCGACCTGATAGGGAATATTGTGTCGTGAGGTCCCGAGAAAATACGAGCTCTCCCACCGCACTCGCCTTATAGTAGCAGACAGAGGTATGGTCATTAGTGCTGTGTCCTGCTCCTATATTGCAGTCAAGGCCGGCTTAGGACAAGGCTGCGTGTACAGGCTTATCAAAACGCTTCTTGTCACGGTTGGGCCATCATACAAGGCACATAACACTATATAACCTAGTAGGCCACGTGGCTATAAAAGCTTAGTATGCGGAAGGCTCTGTTCAGTCTCGGGGCCATGTTCTTCGAGTCACGCCTCTGTCCCGACGGAGTTTCCGCACAGAACCTGTTGGGCGTTGCCATAAAGGTCGTGACAACCCAAGACCATCTTCCAATCACATCCAAATCTTCGGCCGATTGGTGTCGCACGCGGAAGCCTCTGTCTTCCCAGGCGGAGCAGCTCGCTGGCTTGGCCTTTCTGATAGATGGCGCGCTGTCGTTTGTTCCACTGATGCACGACCACAAATTCCTCGACGATGCGGCAGCTTGTTCATCACTCGACTTCGCCCTGAGGATCTTTGCAGACGACTTCGACCTTAACACATGGCACTTGAAAGAATACACAACAACCATTGCGAACGGCGGACTGACGTATTCCGAGGGTGGACTGTGGGATGCTCATGGGGCCATGGTTGCTTCCATGACCCAGCACAACATCCTGAGGCCCAAGAAGGGTACGGGAGCAAATCTCTAGCTTTGGAGTCCTAGAGTGATGGATTCATTGTTGAAACTGTCTACCGGTTGGTCTTCTTGATACACTTCCTGCCAACCTAAAGCCATCACGGGAAACAGATCCGACACCCAGTCACTTGAGTCTCTTCTTCAGCTCTTCTCTGGCCTGATTACACATCTTTCCAACGTCGAAATTTGCGATAATCCCATTCCTGGTGTTGATATCCGCCTCGATTTTAGCGAAATCCCTGCCGATACCTTGTGCTCGCCATTCGTAGCAATCACCGATATGCCGACTACTCTGGACGAGCCATTGGCCCCTCTCCTTTCTTTCGGCATTAAAGGTCTCAAAAACAGCCTCGAGATCCTGCGGCTCTATAACACATTCATCGGCCAGGAGCTCGGCCAGGACAGCGCTATCTTCGATGCAGAGCCCTGCTCCCGCACCATGATGAGGGGAGGTTGCGTGGGCCGCGTCTCCAGATAAGCATATTCGACCCTTATAAAATGTCGGTACTGGATGCTCGCCTAGGTCGAAGATGGCCCACTTGGACATGGTTAGCTATGATCGACCCTGCGGATTTCAATTGGAGTTCTTACTACGTCCAGATCAGGATTCGTGAGTTTCAACAGGTTCAGAACATTCGACCCATATTCCCGAAAATCGAGGAGAGCATCTTCTCGTTTAGCAGCCTTCGTAAGCCTGTTGGAGTCAGGCCAGTCTTCTGAACTTGTTCGGAATGCCACGATATTGAGAGTCTGGCCATGGTTGACTGGGAATGTCAATACGTGGCCATTCGGCCCCATCTTCAGATCGGTCAGTCAGACTTCGCTTTAGGTTCATAACCTCGATGGACGCAACTCACATGCATGCACGCATTCTGCGCCAATTCCTCCCCGACAGCATCCACCGCCTGCGTCATAGGCACTAGGCCTCTATATGCATACTTGTGGGTATAGACCGGATAAGCAGAGGGATGTTCGCGGCCAACAATAGCCTGCCTCACTATCGACTTGATGCCATCGCAACCGATTACCGCATCAGCGCTGGCAGTGGTGCCGTCCTCAAACTCCATCCTCACTCTACCATCACTATCCTCTGTCAGGCTCTTCATCTTCTTCCCAAATCGGGCAATGTCTTGCGGAACGAGCTTGACCATCTCATCTAGATAGCGTGCGCGATGGACACCGCTCTGGCCTAGGCTGCTGGTGATGCTGAATGCAATCTCCTGCGCTTTACTACCTGGTGGCGGATCTCTTAGGCCATCCAGATAGTCGAACCATACTTTCTGCTTCGAGGGCCAGACGTTGCGCGTACACACTCTTTCAAAGGCTTCATAGATCCCTCGGTGACATACTTTCATCGCTTGCACAGCATTGGGAGTGAATGAAACGCCGGCTCCGATTTCGCCAAATTGAGGCGCCTGCTCATAGATGGTGACCGGGACCTGTCGGTGGTACAATGCAATGGCCAGCGTGAGACCTGCAATGCCTCCGCCAACTATGGCGATCTCGAAATTCTTCTGCTTCTGCATCTTGACTGTGTTGGACGGCTGTGTTGGGCCTTGGAGATGGTCCCTGATCAATGACAGCCGGTTGCCTCCAGACATTATTCTAGGCGTCGTGGCCTACAGGAGACTGCACATTTGCGAATGAAATATGAATCTACCCAGCCGACACCGTGACGGGTCCATTGCAGAGAATCCAGGGCCCGTCACCATCGGGTCTGTACTTGTCAGCTCCACGTGTTCTCCGCATGTCATCCGCATGTCCACATTCCCATCCCGATCCCGCACTCGCACCCCGACCCGATCTTGATCCCGCCTCAAATCTCCGCCCCAGCCCCAGCCCCGGTTCCGACAGAATCCGGGAACAAACATGGAATCTTGGGGAAGAGCCAGCTGACCTCATGCGAAGTGAATGCCGAGTTTCTGGTTTTGCTAACAGATTGAGGTTCGCTGCTCGGGAATTCCAGACAGGTGTAGGCTGTGAACCATGTATCACTAGGCGTTAAATCCTTGGATCCTGGGTGCGCCCGTTACTCCATGCGTCACTGGGAAGACAGAAATGATTCCTGGTAAGAGTGCGTGTCATATAGCTACATCTGGACGCCTTTTCAATTCCACAAGCTATATCTAAATGCTTCCTCATGCTGTTACGTAGTGATGGCGACTTTAGCCACAGCTGTTCCAGCTGGTATCTTTATTCAATTCCGTCACTGGACACGACCAAGGACACTACGACAGCCGTACATAGACCGTCTTTGTCTCGGTCCATGCGTACAAGCCCTACACATATTAGGAGAGTGCGGAACGGAATGTGTTTCCGTCCCCCGTCCCCGCTAGGTCGGTGCGAAACGCATTCCGTTTCGTACCTCCGCCAATCGCCTGGCGGCGTAGTGGTCTCCACCCGACCACGAATACATGAATGCGTTTCATTGGTCGTAGGCACGATAGAGGAACGATTACCGATATCGATAGGACGCGTCGTGAGTATTTCTAGCCATCGACGCGTGCGAGTATCTCAAGTACAGAATTTATGAAGCTTATTAGCACTAAATCGATAGCACTAAATTTCTCGTGAAGATGAAATGGTCAGATCTCTCCGCGGTCGAAAGACAGACCCGTCTTCAATCTCTTCATCTCGAGATCGTCGAGTGTGTTCTCGCCGATCGTCGTTCTCGATCTCTCTTGATCTGTCGCGTCTGTGGTTATGTTCTCTCGACACAGGCGAATAGTGTCAATAAGCATCTAAAAGAGAAGCACCAACTCCCTGCGGCTCGACATCAAGGGTTAACCACCTTTCTTCGTTCGCTAGGGCTTTCAGATCCTCGAGATCTCTCTCTACCTAAGGACGATCTCCCGCCATTTCCTCACTTAACGATTCGACTAGGCTATAGCTGTTCGAAATGTCCATATCGCAGTCTTAACTATAAGCTCGTCGGCGATCATATTACCGCGCGACACCTCGATCTTCGTAACTCCGGCCAATGGACTCGAGATTATATTCGACCCGTCTCCCTTCAGAGCTGGACTCTTAGTCCTCCTCAAGGCTATTGGATCGTTCACTCTAGCTATTCTCCTCTCGATCAACAACGTCCCGAGGTTTACGATTCGGTCGATACTTCTCCTCGCCGGGGTGATCATATTCAGCAACTTCGAGAGAGTGAACAGACTTATCTCCGGCAATGTCTACCGCCCGCTTCCACTCTCGCGCGCGAGTCTCAGAGCTCCGACACTCTATCAATCTGGCTTCGCCGAACGAGATGGGTCGAGACCTACGCACATGCCTGTCGAGAATTACTCGTTGCCCTTCCTCTTCCCCCGAAAAGTGCTAAGTCCGATCGATTTCTCGCCCAAGTCAACGAGACCGACCTCCTAAGTCCTCGAGGTGACGAGCGCAAACTTCGCCAAATAGGTCGAGCCCTCGATCGTCTCTTTATTCGCTATAAAGAGACCGCTCGCGCCACTAATACCGGTCTAAGACATTAGCTCGCTAGTTATAATCCTTATCGACCGTACCGGTATCCGTTTAAGTTACCTAGTCGCTTAAGTCGCCAAAGATATTACGGTACCTGGAAATGATTTATCTTCTTCGTATTTCGTCTCTATCGACTAAATCCCGAGACTCGACAAGCTTAGGTCGATTTCTGCTTTACGATAGAGTAGCAGCGAGTTATTAAACGAGTCTAGAATAATCGGAACTTTAATTTCACTGACGAAGAAGACGAAGAAGAGGAAGAAGACGAAGAAGAGGAAGAAGACGAAGAAGAGGAAGAGGACGAAGAGGACGAGGAGGACGAAGAGGACGAGGAGGACGAAGAGGACGAAGAAACGAAGGAGGAGGAGGAGGAGGACGACGATAATAATGAGAGTTAAACTCCTTTACTTAACGACGCTCTTCTTCAACTAAGTCTAACATTAATTAAAGAGGAACTTATCGATGGTCGTCCAGCCTCCACGCTTCTCGTCTTTTTCTCCGGTCTCCTCGGTCTCAGTCCCGGCGGCTAGGTTTTTCGACAGCCCGGTAACTACACCTCACATCTTTCCGCGTTAATCTACTATATTCGTCTTCTTTCCCTGGAATATGCCCTTCCCTTAACCTCACACCGCTCTCTTAGCTGGTCTAAGCGGCCGCGACGTGGACAGTATTAACGGTTTCGACGACTTCAACGTCGTCTCCTCTATTTCGGAACCCCGACGCCGATGGGAGAGATTCTCAGCCTTCGCGCGTATAGCCGTAAAATCTCCCGAGCCTAGGGTGGCGCTTTTAAATTCTTCTAGAGCGACGACGGCTAGATCGTCACGTGGGATTAATTCACCTACACCCTTATTATGTTTCGGCGGCTTAGCCAGCAGGCCCTCGATTCGGCCCGTTAGAGCTACTAAAGGTTAATGTACGACTAGTAGCCGCCGGTAGACTTAAGTGGCGTTCGAGATCGATTCACCTATCTCGAAGTAGGATATTACTTTCGCGTAGAGCCGCATAATAATCTCCAGGACGCCTATCTATCTCTCTCCGATCACGCCTGTGCCGCCGACGCCGACGGTCTAATAAATAGTACCGGCTGGGACCTCGCCGCCGTCGGCCGCTATCTCGCGCAAGAAGAGGCCTTTCGACGGGAGCTTCTGCTCTTAGTGTATCTCTTCGGTGGCCAAGCTCCTCGTAGGTCCGATCTTCTTCGAGCTACGTATGCTAATAGACCGACTTAGGCTCGTAGTATCTATATCTACGACGGGACGGTGGTGATTATAACTCCATCCGGTAAGAGTGCGCGCCGGAATCAATCCGACTTCCACTACGCCCGCTATCTCCCTCCTTCGGTGGCCTCCATCTGGTTTTAATACCTAGTTTACATCCGTCCCTTCGTCAACCTTCTTCGCCGTGTCTGTTTTCGATCCCAGCCCCTTAGTCGTTCTATCTAGGGCCTATAGTCGTCTAAAGTAACTATAATCACCGGGAAGACTATTAGCCAGCTTCTGAAGGTTCTCAGCCACTAGGTCTAGGGAGACCCTTTAACCCTAATATTATTCTAGTCTAGAACGATGATCGTTCTACGGTAAAATAGGGTCTTGGCGTTAAGGGTGGCTCTTCGTTCTAGTAGTTCTTCGTTCTATATATAAACTCTTACTAACTTAGGAACACGAAAATTCCACCGGTGATGTAGGATATTTTCTTATATCACCTTCATTACAGTAAAGTTTATCTATCTCAGTATTTAGGTTTAAAGCGCATGTCGAGTTCTCCCACCCAGCGAAGTCTCGAGCTTCGTAGCCCACGGCGCGGGTCGGTGGTGGTGGATGAAGTATTGTTAACAGGCGAAACAGTGCTGCAGGCCGCACCGACCCCGCCATTCAGATAGCTACGAACACTCCCACAACACGGCGTCGTTCTGTACGTCGAGCACCAGACATGCTTCACGTTAAGCAAGAGGCATAGCTTACAGCTACATCTACGTAAAGAGCATAATATGATGAAAGAGCGATTCAAAGAGGTAGAAGTATGGTTAGCAACGGAGAATTTGGCCGCGGAAGTGCACGCACCACCAGACAACACACCGCTAATTAGAGGGCTGCAATATATTGACGGCTGGCTGTACTCGATGCCCGACTACACTAAAAGAACCAGCAGCTTAGAGAGGATCCAGCGACACGCCAGCGATGTACACAAGGTGGCCAGCCGTCATGCTCAGCGTAAGGCGAACATATACCGCCGTGTAAAGCTGCAGTACTTGTTCGCTAAAGAGAAGCAGTACTGGATTATATAGAACCCGCTCGCTGACGAGGCGTCTACGCTACCCAGCCACGGCCCGACACCAGAACCCCAGCGCCGAGATGCGCCCGGACCCACCGCCATGTAGGCGATCTTTGCTCGTGCTGCAGATACATTACGCCGTAACGAAGCCCAGTACGAGCAGTTAGGTAAGCCTAATCATATATCGGAGATCACGCTATAGCTGCGTAAGAGTCGCTTCGATCAGTATCTCACGGGTCTGGACAGTACGCTGGTTGCTTCGTCGTAAGCTGCGCCGTAGTCACCAGAGGATAACCCGCGGCTGAATGAAATCGTGCTGTCCGTGGAGCGTGTGCTGTATAAGGCATACGAGCTGGTGCCGGATCTGCTAGAGATGGATACACTCGTTCTTAATACATTTTAGACCGGCACCACCAGCTAGGATCTATTTTAACGTCTTTAGAATATTACTTCTTTCACTAACTACGTCGCCGTGTTTTAATATCTACTATATTACTTTATTCGTGTCTAGGAGGGTTATTTTAGCGAGGATATTTCCAAGTTTATTACTATAGCCGAGTAATTATCTACTTTAAATTCTATATTAGATATAGCGTAGGCGTTAGATTAGTTACGGTTTCCGGACACTAGCGACTAGGAGTCGAATAACGAGCTGGATACGGATAAGGAGCGCCTAATCGAATCGGCGCCCGCCGTGCAGCTCGCGGCACAGGAGCCTATTCTAGACGAGTATGTCTTTAATTTCATGGTTGCGCTGGTGTAGTACCGGATTTCCCATATATACGAGAGTGCTATCTGTTCGTTTCTCGCGGCTCGTTCCGCCATTATCCACCGCGATCACCACAGTATTATATTTCGGTCCGAGGCTTAAGTGGCTGGGCTGCTAAGCAAGCTTATCTACTCTTATTAGTTAATTATACTGTAGGATGCTACTTATATTAAGGAACATCGGCAGCTGGCCGACATCGAACTACCACTACAAGCGCTGTGTGAGAAATAGGTCGTCAACAAGACACGCGGTCCACTCGGCGTGCTGAGTAACTGGCGGCTCTATATCATGCACGTGGGAGGCGCATTTATGCCCGAGGCGCTCGTGGTGTGGGATCCCGACGGTGAAACATTGACATACGGTGATTTACGATACAGCCGTCAAGATCTGGTGGATAAGGTGTTGCTGGCCGTACGGCAGATGCGACGAGTCTTCTACGAGGATCTATGCTTCGGGTTGCCCGACTTACCCGTCATCCCGGTGCGAGATCTCCAGGATAACTAGGCCACCAACTAGGCCGGTTACAGCTTCTTAAACGATGCTCGCAACTCCGTATATCACGAGGTGACCAAGCACTAGCTGCTAACCCGGATCACCCAAGATCCCCGGCTGCGGGACTTGGTCTTTCACACCGAACAGTACGAGCTCGACGAGGGCGGTGGGTGGCCCGTCCGGTCCGACTTTGCGCAGCAGTATGCCGTGGCCGACGAGGCGTTCAAGGAGGCTCTCCTGGTGGCTATGCATAAAGGCTCGGGCCAGCCAGCACGCCGCACCGAGTTTCTGGGGATCCGGTGGCGTAATTCCAACCGAGGAGTCCGTAACTTTCGACTGCTATTCGACTATGCGTGCTTCATCTTGACATACCATAAGGCCCAGACCCGCACCCACGCGTCTCGCGCTCCCGTCCGCTTTCTGTGGGGGCCGGTCAAGGAGCTGTGGGTTCTGTATTTATATATTGTCCAGCCGTTTCGGATTTTTCTTTCCGAGCAGTGTAATATCCCCGAAGAGGTCGGTGACTATATATTCGATCAAGGTCGCAAGACATGGCCGGAGAAGCGGATGACCGCCGTGCTGACTCGAATGAGCGAACTGAGCTTAGGGAGGGCGGTATCGGTACAGAAATGGCGGCAGATCGCCGTGGCATTCGCGGTCAAGTACTTTAGTGGTCAGCACTTCGAGGCCGATGCGGATGTGGCCGGTGAAGAGGATGATGATGTGGACGAGACCACCCGCACCGACGGGGTCACATTACCCGCTTCATTTCACGCCCAGGCTACGCATAGTGGTCGCACCGGCAATCGGATCTACGGTGGTCGCACGGTCAACTTCGCCGGGGCTCTGACCGATGCGGGTGTGCAGGTGTACTACCACACCAGTAAGCTGTGGTGGACGCTGTTTGAGGACGAGGTCCGCGCCGAGCTCCGTGGGCATAAACGCACTCGTCCCGAATCCATGCCGAATGCCGGTCCGTCGCTCCCCCAGAAGCTGGCTCGTCGTCATCTCACGAGTCGTCGGATCGTCTGGGGTCCGGTGGAGGTGCTGCAGGCACTGCGTCGTCTGTACAAGAATCCCCAGGCGCAGTTTCGGTCGGAGATCCAGCAGTATATGGTCGAAACGGTGGCATCTCGGTACGGCGAAGTCGTAGTCATTCTGGCGACCGGCGGCGGCAAGAGTCTGGCATTCATGGTGCCCGCATTTCTGCCGAATTCCAGCACCACCGTGGTGGTGACGCCACTGGTGGTGCTGAAGCAAGACATGCAGCGCCGCTTCAACGACGCTGGCATCCGATACTCGATCTGGAGTGGCCATGGACACAGTGAGCGCTTCAACGGCACCCCGGTGTTGTTTGTGTCGGCCGAGCAGGCCGTCGGCCAGCCATTTCGCCAGTGGATCGGTCAACGTGATGCCAATCGACTCTTGGACCGCGTGGTGTTTGACGAGGCGCATCTTATTCTCACCACATTGTCATACCGACCCAAGATGGCTCGGCTGCGGTTTCTGCGTTCACTGCGGTGCCAGATGGTCTTTCTGTCGGCCACGTTACCCCCCGTCATGATGAAGGACTTCTGTCGGCTGATGCACATCGAGCAGCCCGTGGTGGTGCGGGACCGGACATTCCGACCCGACATCCGGTATCTCGTCGAGCGACAAGCGGCCCGTCCAGGCGGTGGTGACGAGGAGGATTCGTTTAAGGACTAGCTGGTGCAGGTCGTGGATAAGGCGCTGCGGTTCTATAAACAGACCGAGCCGCGTGCCCGGATCATCGTCTATATCGAGGACAAAGCGATGGTCCAGAAAATCGCCGAGCGGCTCGGCTGTGAGTTCTACCACGCCGACTCCGGCACGGCCCCGGAGAAGGAGCAGGTCTTGCATCGCTGGCACCGTGGTGAGCACAAGGTCATCGTCGGGACCAGTGCGTTCGGCATGGGCGTCGACTACGCGCACGTTCGCGACGTAATCCACTTTGGCTTCCCCGACGACGCCATCATGTTCTCCCAGGCGGTTGGTCGGATTGGTCGGGATGGCCACGGCGGGAATAGCATCGTGCTGCTGCCACGCCACTTCCGTCCGATTGACGATGAGACATGGGAGCGGGAGAAGCACATCACGCCGCTCGGTCGACGGGTGATGCAACGTTACGTCACGGGACGCTGCTGCAATGCGGTCTTGAGTCGCTACATGGACGGTCCCGAGCAGATGCAGTACTGTACCGATCTACGGCGGCGATGCACATACTGTCTCATGGC